ATTCACGGCTAATGTGTAGATTTCATGAAATATTCAAAAGGTCTCAGTGTTAACATTTTAAATAAACTTTCCCTCTTCCCCCTCCCCCAAACAAGCAAGAGGGCTAATCCGTCTCTGTTTTTCTCTAGGAAGCTGCACAGTGGTATGAAGACTTATGGATGTGAGTTGTGTGGGAAACGATTCTTGGATAGCTTGCGGCTCCGAATGCACTTACTGGCTCACTCAGGTAGGTTTAGAAACGTTGATGCTCCAGGAGGCAAATGCTGCCTCTGTCATTTTCACCCAAATCTATTGAAACTCCCTGACAAATTTTAAGTGTGTGCATGTCTGTAGTGGGAGAGTTATTTTAACCATGTTAGAGTGGTACATTATGAATCTCTTCCCTTTTTCATTCCAGAGACAGTTAATTTAATTTTCAGAGCTTTTGGTTTCAGTTCTTTAACTGGGGAGATATTTGCAGTACCTCAGGAGCCTGGGATAGCAAACTTGGACAACTGCATGGCAGAGCACTATTTGATTGCCTCCGTCAACTTCTGTCATGATACTGGAGTGGTTTCCCCCTTCTCTGTGTGTGTGAGAATACTGTATTTGCCACGTACAGGCACCCGCTGCAGTTTCATTAGTAAAACTGTTGCAGAATTAGACACCCTGTCTAATGAATCTTACTATTGGGTTCGAATTATGCAGGCCCTTTAATTAAATAGATATAGAAAGGTTGGAATGCTAAACTTGTGAGAAGACATTGTGTTTGGCAAGTTAATTGAGTCTGAAATTTGTATTGGTCCAGCAGCCCTGTATGCAACTAGATTTTGTATTTAAAAAAAAAAAGTGCAGGCAACCCTTGGATCTGTTTCCTCAAAGGCAATGTGTGCATACAGATCCACTCCATATCTCATTCATTCAAGGGAAAATCACTTGAAGTTTGTTCACACAGGGCCGGCTTTACTATGAGGCGAACTAAGGCGGCTGCCTCAGGTGCCAGACTAGGATGTGGGGGGGGGCGTCCCTAAGACCCAGAGTGTAGAAAATTGTCTGCTGCTGGTGCATTTGTATTCTCTCCGCACTAGATGTACAGAGATGGGGGAGTGCTGTGCTGGAGGAAGGAGGGCACGAGAGATACAACAGGCAGGCAGGAGAAAAGGGATCACGGGAACTTCATTTGAGCTCCCCGCCTCAGGTACCCGAATGTTGTGGGCCGGTCCTGTGTCCACACGCACAAATCAGTCTGGCTAGGGCCAGCAAACGCTCGGGACCAAGGCCCTGCAGTGCTGCTAGGGAGGTGGGTCAAAGCCCAAGTCCCCCTGTGTCGCCTGTCATTTTGCAGGTCAAGTTGCAATCCTGAGTCAAAGGTTTCTGTAGTGCAATAGGGACCCGTTCCGGCTCTGAGACCTGGCCCCAGCCGTTGGAAAGCCAACTTCACAAATGCTTGGAAACCCCGAGACCACTGTGCTGTGTAGACGTAACCTGCAGCGCTCCCAAAAACCCAGCACACTTCAGCAGCGAGGCTGAGCCAAGGTCAGGTGACTCACGCTTACAGGGCTTGCGCCAGGGCGCTAAAAGCAGCAGTGTAGATGTTCTGCACTGCTATTTTTAGCTCTGTGGGGCAAGCCTGGGTCAGCTGATCTGGCCTCAGAGGCTCTCTGCTGGGACGGGGCAGGGGAGTTGGACTCATAGGGTCCACGTGAATTTACAAGGCTTAATTTACTTTCTGCCTTATGGACTGTAGGAATAAACATGAGGGGAGGGGGCGAGGGAGTCAGAAGGCAGTAAGTTCTAATCCTTCCTCTGCTGTTCCTTCCCGATGTGGACTTAGTCAAGTCACTGGACCTCCTGCTCGTTTTATTTCTGTGCCTGTGCAAACTAGTCCTTGACCAGGCTCCTTGTGCTTGGTGCTGTACACACACAGTACAAATGGTCCATTTCCCCACCCCTAAAGTGACCCCCCCCTTGCTTCTGTAAAGCGCTGGATAAATGCCACGTGTTAGTCCCAGCCAATGCTGTGGTAGTGAAAGATCACACGTGTGAGACCCCAAAAGCAGGAACATTCTCTAACTCAAGTTCATGCCTCTCGCGGAAATGTTTCTGCCGTCCTTGCTCTTCAAGCACGGTGGTGCTGCTTCTGCCATCCTGTTAAGGTTCAAGTGGGAACCACGGGCGCACAGATATCTCCTAGTAGGTGACCCGTGCAGAGCTGAGCATGGATCACCGAGTCTCCTCTGACGTACTCCAGCAACACGTGGACTCTGGAGATCCTGACGAGGCTAGAATAAACACAACCAGACTTGGAGGGTGGCCTGGCACATGGGGTGTAAGGCAGCAAGCTCTCGCCTGTGATTCCAGCAGCATGAACCTGACACAAGAGGCAGCCATTACTTAAGGGGGAGGCCTGTGGCTGGAATATGGGAAGCAGGCCATGAGTGAAGTATGCCAGCAGGTCTGGTCACTTAGGGCAGGGGTGGGGAGCCTCAGACCCAGGGGCTGCAACTTACCTTTATCTGCCCCCCAAGGCTCGGAGCTCCTCTCCCCCCCACAGTTGGGAGCCCCAAGTGGGCCAGAGTCAGGCCAGCCCAACCCCCCAGTTCCCCCTCTCCCACCCAGACCCCGCATCTCAAGCCCTCTTCCCAGAAGCCTGCTCTCCCACACTGAACCCCTCATTTTTGGGTCCCATCCCAGAGCTTGGGGGGGCCTTACAAAATCTACTAGCCCCCCCCCCAGCTCTGGTGTGTGAGGGGAATGTGGGGAGTGTCCTTCTGGTTCCAAGTTGGGGGCCGTGTCGTTAAGGTGTCTCTTTTGCTTCTCACTTTTGTGCGGCCCCTGACTGATTTTTCTGTGGATCAGCGGCCTTCCCAACCCCAAAAACGTCCCCCACCCCTCACTTAGGGGGTTGGGCAGAGCTAAGAGTTGTTGTGCCTGACTTTCCCCATTCTTCTGTGTTGATGGAGTGTGGGCATCTGGACTCCACAAGAGAACTTACTACACACAGGGCTGGCTTTTCCTGGTGAGTAAATGAGGGATGATCTGGTGGCCTTTTATCCAAGCCATGCAAGTTTGGGACTGGTGCAGTTTCTAAATGAGCAATTCTCCTGACCTAATAGAAGGTGAATCCCCCTCAGGATGCAGCTCCTACTCCGCGTCCCAGCTTTGAGAGACCGGCCGTGAACCAGCTGACCTTTCTGCTGTCCTGCAGTGAGGTTCAGCGTAGTGCCTTCCCCCCTGAAACGGGCATAAATTGGGGGTGGTGTGCTCTTGGGAGATGGGTGACAGACTGGAGCCAGGAATCGTCATGTGACTGGTATGTAGCTCTCTTCCTAGATCTCTGGCACTCCTGCCCCTTTCTTTATGGACCTCTCTTCAGCACTCCCTGTTAGGGGCATGGATGGGACTGAAATCATAGAATAATAGGACTGGAAGGGACCTCGAGAGGTCGAGTCCAGCCCCCCGCCCTCAAGGCAGGACCACAGAATACCGGTGCTCCACAGAATTCCACTGCCCAGTAACCTGGCACACATAACGAGGACTATGGCGGTAAGACCTAGAACGCTCGTTAGGCGAAGCGCTGTACAGGCCGAGCGAAAGGATGCACTCTGCCCCAGCGAGTTCCTTGTTCCTCCTCTGCACCCTCTCTTGTCATCCCAGGTGGACTCTGAAATCCAGATGTGCGATGGTGTGATAGTACTGAGTGTATGAGCTTATCGGGCACATCTGGATCCTTGCACATCCATGAGTTTGGCATTCAAAAAGCAAATGCATCCCTTTGCTTGGAGAGCTCTCTCCCCCCCCCAAACTCCTCCCCACCCCATGCACCGTCCCTAGGCCAGTGTTCCTTCCATACATATCAGAGAAAGTCAGCTGTGACTGGCTTCATAAAGATTGATCTGGTCAGGCTAGAGACTTTATATGAGAATATCCCTGTTTTATTTCTGCTTTTATAAAAGCAGAGGTCTATAAAATCATGAGCGGTGTGGAGAAAGTGAATAAGGAAAAGTTATTTACTTGTTCCCATCCGTCCCTAGGCCAGTGTTCCTTCCATACATATCAGAGAAAGTCAGCTGTGACTGGCTTCATAAAGATTGATCTGGTCAGGCTAGAGACTTTATATGAGAATATCCCTGTTTTATTTCTGCTTTTATAAAAGCAGAGGTCTATAAAATCATGAGCGGTGTGGAGAAAGTGAATAAGGAAAAGTTATTTACTTGTTCCCATAATATAAGAACTAGGGGGTCACCAAATGAAATTAACGGGCAGCAGGCTTAAAACAAATAAAAGGAAGGTCTTCTTCTCAGAGCACACAGTCAATCTGTGGAACTCCTTGCCTGGGGAGGTTGTGAAGGCTAGGAATATAACAGGGTTTAAAAGAGAACTAGATACATTCATGGAGGTTAAGTCCATCAATGGCTATTAGCCAGGATGGGTAAGGAGTGGTGTCCCTAAACTCTGTTTGTCAGAGGGTAGAGATGGCAGGAGAGAGATCGCTTGATCATTACCTGTTCTGTTCACTCCCTCTGGGACACCTGGCATTGGCCTCTGTCGGCAGAGAGGATACTGGGCTGGATGGACCTTTGATCTGACCCAGTCTGGCCGTTCTTATGTTCTTTTAAGGCAAGGCCCTGCCTGCACTTCACTTGGGATGGTCCTTATTCTCACTTGCCTCCCTTTGTTCTTCTCACAGTAGCACATACTAGTCCCAACAGTGAGTTTTTGCAGGACTGGCTCCACCGATCGTGTGTGATTTTAATGGGGTTGGATTCTGAGCAACGTTACCGTCGGGGTAGATTCCCGAAGCTCCCAGAGTTCATCCAGATTGCACTTACTGCGCCCGGGGCGATGGTGCCGGCTGTCTGGTGATGAATAGACGCTGTCCATGCAGGGTGTGACGGCAGCTCTGGTTAATGCATGGCATTGTGGCAGGCCGCGTGTACTGCACTTAGCATCTCAGCTGTGTTTTCCCTTCCCCCCGCCTCCTTTTTTTGGCTTGCGCTGCCTGTGTTTGTTGTTGTAGTTTTGGCCCCGCGCCAGTCCCTGGCTGGCTGCCAGCCTTGTGGGTACAGTATGTACAGTGAATGTCGAGCCAAGTTTGTCATCATACAAGATTAATTTTTTTTCTAATCTGTCTGGGGTTGGGTGAAATCGGGCAGGCGGGGGAGGCAGAAGGAGCTGTTCTAACGCTCGAAAACAACCGCATTTCATTCCAGCACTGTTGTTTATTAAAACACGAGCGCTTTATAG